AAAATGAAGGCTAATCATGTTTTGGGTGTACTATTCCTTTAAGTGACCAAAACACCTTCTTCTTGCACTGTTTTCCCTTACATGGTTTCTGGCTAACTGCAATTAGCACTTGTTATGGTTTTCTTTTAACAACACTGCAAAAAATCTAAATCTTGATAAGTCATTTTTTTCTTAAAATAAGTGCATTTGTTATTGAATTGAGGAGATAAAAGAGACATCCTGCCAATGGAACAAGACAATTTAGATTTAAAATAAGAAAACACAATTGCTTTGTCTTATTTCAAGTGAATGTTATGTAATTATCTTATTTTAAGTGTAAAAATCCTGATTCCATTGGCAAACTGTCTCATTTACCTACTCAAATTAAGGGTAAATACACTTAATTTAAGAAAGTTTTACTTATTGCTAGATTGTTTTTCCAGTGAAATGCTTTCTTCTTTCCACTTTTACATAGAGATCATATGTATGCATTGAGTGACCAACAGTTGTCTGGTGGACATATTCCTCCAACTGAACTGTGGATCACTGTGGTTTGTTCAGTCACCACGGGCCTCTTGGCTGCATCTCTCATTAGCGCCTTCCTCTACGTTTAGGTGGACGTCCGTGTCTTGGGAGGTTTACAGCTGTGCCAGACTCTTTACAATTCCGGATGAGCTATTGAGCAGTTCTGTGCAAGCAGCTCAGAGCTTGGGAAATCAACCTCTGAGGCTGTCACAGAGCAGTTGTATTTGTGCTGAGATGAGATCACACACAGGTGGACTCTATTTAGCCTTTAGCCACCATTGGGCCATTTCTAGTGGCTAAAGGCTAGTGACAGGCCTAGCTGGAACAGTTAACAAGTAGTAAGAAAAAACAGTCTTTGTACTGATTATTGTTATAAAGTATGAGGGGTTCATCTCCATCTTTAGCATAAGTATTCCTACAATCGCAGGCGATCATGAACACTTCTATATCCTAGTTACGTAAGATTCAATTACTAAAGGAATGAAGAATGTAAAGGTGGAGAGAGACGGATGTCTTAAAAGATAAGACATGACGCTGAGGACAGCAGCCGACACTGAGGAGCACCATATTAGCTGCATTGAACTGTTAGATTGTGGGAAGGACACGGAGCTGATGAGGACAAGATGCACTGGCAGCCTGGGGTCAGGGATATATATAGTCTGTGCTGCATAATCCCACTCTGTCAGATTTGGTTGTTTCATTTGTCTCTTGGCACAGCTGGAGTGGATACATATTTAAAGAATGAGTAGATGGATCATAGTTCAACATTATAATTATTTCCCTACCCCATAGACAGCTATAATAGTCAGGGTTGAAAGCCGTTTTCCACAGGCTGCAGACGTTCCTGATAGAGACAGAAACAGACTATACTGCAGGTCGTTTTGTGTTTTTTTGTAGCATGACAGTTTATTCCCTATCTGTTCACCACATGGGTGTAACATGTGCAGTTAACTGGACACTGACAGCTAAAGTGGAGGAGGTGGGTGGGATTGGCGGGGGCTCTTACCACCAGCACCCACGCCTACTGCAGAGAAAACGGACAGTAATATAACATCCACCGAATGTGGAGGCGGCAGAAAGCCGTGTTTTGTTATATTTAGGTGTTACAAAAGATCTACCTCTGGTGGAGAGGTATGAAGGGCAGAGTATCGTTTTTTTATTTAAGCTTTAAGCTCTGATGACTCTCTAAGATTTATAAAGCTGGCTGCAGGGATTTACTGCCATTCTAAAGCATTAGTGAGGTTGGTCAGTTTGCAGTCACCCTGCCAATCCATCCTGTGTGCATGCTGGTCAGTTTATTTGTTAGCTGCATTAAGGTTTAAAGAGACTGAAACAAAGATTTCACAAACACTGATAGCATCACGCTTTAGTGAAACTAGATTGGCATATCGTATCACAATCGCTATTTCAGGTGACCCAAAGGGATACGCATTCATACTCTCACATCAATGCAGAATATGTTTATTAAGAAATACTACAGCAGAAGCCTTAATGTGGAATACTTCACCATAAATGTTATCAGTTAGTTCAAATATAAGA